CAGCCTTCGAATCAGTTCGTCGCCACACCGCCAGATGTGTCATGTTATTCATCACTACAGGATTCTACAGGTGGTGGTAAACATGATAGGTCTGTACGGAGGTTGTAATGCGCTTCCGGTCAACTGAAGAATCACTGTCGGACTGTTTAACACTACCAGAGGATTTCGTTAAGACGAGGTGCTCTCTCTTTTGTTATTCAGTTATGGGAAACTATGTTATGCAGAGGCGTCGTTCCAAATAGCAACGACGAACCGATTGTTAGTCGGCATTGCAGCTCAAGATACCCGGTAGTATTCCTAACGGAGCTTGCGTATGCCCATGACTTCGTGCTGCAAGTGGCCTACTGGCACTCATTGAATATGTGTGCAGCATCATTATTAGAATGGGCGTACAAGTAAACGCCCAAAAAGTGAATATTATGAAAGTGCCCGCCGCTAATGGCAGATAAAAGATATTATGGAATGGTATTATGATAGACGAAATGGATCATGTCAAGTACCTCGGAACTGTGTTGATTAACGATTCCGACAGTGAAACTGAAGTGAATCGGCGTATCGGACTGACATCGGCCGATTATGGCAAGCTGCATAATATGTGGAAGGATCGAGCACTACGAACGCACACGAAGATTATTCTGATAACAGCCGTATTCACGGCACTCAGGTACAGTCTCAAAACATCTGTTATACGAAAGCGTCATGGAACTCCTTTGGGCAGTTTCCAGCAACTCCGTCTGCACAGCATCCTCAAAGTGCGATGGCACCACCGGGTCAAGTGCCGACGACCACGGGTTTGAGAATGCAATCAGATGAACCCAGAGACCGGTGCCGGGCTTGGTTTGATGAAATGGCCCAAAAATGAATGGAGATATATTCAAATCTTTCCGCTCTTGGAAACAGCGCAGTGGCCGCAGACGTGGGAAGAGGACAATACAAGAGATGGAAAAACTTCGCTGAGGCAGACCGGCGTGCGAAAACTAATATGAACTTTGCCTAATATCGATCTGAAGTGGCACTTGTAACAGTAGGGCCTCATAAATCTGGCTTACTCTGCTGCGTAAGCTGTGTTAAATTCACACGACGATGACAAACAACAGTTACTTCGCGGGCGCGAAACGGTCAAAGAAGAAAACTTCTTATGTTATCAGGGGGCCGGCTGAGTATCGAAGTCATTGACCTCTAATTCATGTTTGGAAGTAATAGACATTAGATGGTAAAAAATTTTATGTAAAACATATTGTTTACTTCACTCTTCAGAATCAACAACAAAAGAGATCAATAAAGTTTGCATTATTACAAATAATGATACCGAATTTTAACAGCGAAAACGCGGTGTAAAGAAAGAAAAGTTTATTTCGGTCGTGTAAGATAGATGGAAGTCTTACACCTGGCAGTACTTGAATATTGCACCGCCCCTTTGCTTCTAGTAACCTAGAAGCACCATTTAAGCAGACCACGGCTCCTTGCTATTTATGCGCCAGCAGTGAGTAGGACATGATCGCGTCTCGATGTTGGGCTGAACAAGTGCATGTTCAAGCCAAAACTCCACTATGCGCATGTGAATACATTCAAAATAGCAAGATATGACTATATAAAATTTGTATTGGCAAATAAATCGGGTAATAGCTGAAAAACAAACCTCCGGGCTTTAATCGGCTCTCAATTTCTTTGTTATTGGTAAGAGGCTGTTGATGTCCTTTCGAACATCATTTATATTACTCGTATTTCTTAATTGTTTTGACTCAAGTTAGATCGCCAGTTGCGGTACCTTGCAGCGATTTCATACACAATAAGACCCAACGGTCACATCTATTAAGCACAAGGCTTTCTCGGAACTGTGGCACGATGTCCTTACATTAGTGTGACAATATAATGTCAGTTGCCAGTTATACCGCTAAGTCAATAAAAGAACAATGCGCTAGAGTTCTGATGACTTCGCAATTAATAGTTTTCAAACATTTTACCAATTTTTAATGCATGGTTATGAGCTTCAGTTTTAATAATGAATAATTTTAATTTATGTTTGTTTCGCCTCCTAGAAAAGCATGTTGTTTTAAATTCTGAAAGTTAATTCTCTGATAAGAAAGCTTCTTACTGACTCTGTTAAAGTTTAACAACTTCTTAGGAAGGCATGAATGTGGCGAACGAAGTTCTTAGTAACGCTAATGCAGTTCTTAGCTTTCATTGAATATAATCTCCCTGTCCAAGAAACACAAAAGTCTATTTCTTATCGTCGACAGATATTGGTCATTTCTGTTTTTATTATGATCTGCTGTTCAGCAGATTGCAGTAGGTTGTACTTTTTCGAGCTTCTAAGAAAACTAATTTCTGTCAGACCTCGATCTCGCTAATGAGCGACAAAAGGCGCTCATCCCAAGCTATTTCATCAATGGGGTCTCTCTTGCAGTCTGTATGAAGGTAAGTCCAAGATATGTAGCACCACAGAAAAGAAACTCCATCAAATGCCGTTCTAAATTAAACTATGTCCTGTAAGCCATATTTCATTTAGTCATACGAAACAGCACATCCGTTAATTTCCTATAGTTGATCTTTGTTCATATTTTGAATACTTCCGTTCTGAAAATCATCTGGGATCATTTCTAACTTGGCAGCGTGCAACCACAAGAAGCCTAAATGCGCAATTAAACACATTCCAGAGCTGTATCACTTATCTCTACTATTTCTTTGTGTTGTTAGGCGTCTTCAATATACGTTCCTTCGTTTAATTATCAGGTTTCTAGAATCGGCGAATTACGGGCTTACAGTTTAGGCCAGCGGTTGGCGTGTTTACTGAAATCATACTCAAGTGAGACGATTTAAAGATGATACGCTTGAAAGCTTGGTTCCTGTATGGAGCAGGAATTCTGTATTGAATGAACGACGGATTATTACTGTCCATACTGCAACAGAAACATGCAAAAGTCATGATATTCGCTAATAAACCAAGTAGACGCTGTTGTAACTCTCGAGGAAGTGAATTAACATTTTTTCTGAAAGATTACGAATATTTACTTTACCTTTAAAATGAAATTTTAAAAATTACGTTGCAGTGATAACCTTATAGATGATGCATAACTCGTTCAAGACAAGGTTTCAGGATGTTTTGTGCCACCCCTCGCTCGTGGTTAGGGTAACTAATCAGGCCACGCCTCCGTAGTATCTGAGCATGTGTAGTGCCACATGCATTTTAAATCAATTTGTCTGCAAGAGTCGCCTCGACTGGAACGATGCTGCAAGAGCTGGTACGCCATATATCCCATCACACAAACATCAGTATTTTGACGCTTATGCAGTAATTGCCTGATAAACGCGAATAAAAATGGTTGCGAACAATTTGCATAAGTCCATATTTCTGCACTTCAATCTTTCATCTTCAACTTCGGAAATCGGTTTCAGCAGTCGACAAATACAAACATCTTACAGAGCGTTAGTTCAAATCGTTTACTTTCAAGAAGTACGCACTGCCAACTGAAGAAGTCCGGAAGTTATGAAACTAAGCATAACTTAATTATGTAGATTTCGATACCTAACGCGCTATTAAATGTGTTTTAAATTTCAGATAGCAGTGTGGCTCCGCACCTTGTTGCACTGTACGACGAGCAAGTGCTGACAGCATTGCAAAGTTTCGTGAATATTTCGTCCAAGATTAATTATGAAATTGCGCAACTGGTGAGTACTTCAATCCTTTAACGTATGTAAAGAAAATGAGCGACAGTCATGCTGTTGTTTCATCATCGTCATCAAAGGCTAGCAGAGCTTTAACAGCATAATATCCCGGATATATGATGTCTAACCTTTAAAAATGGGATCTCAGATTGATATTACGCAACCTTCACTACTGCGGTAAGGGCCACATTCCACCTCTCAAAATATAGTTGCACAAGTTATTCAGTTCTTTCTACTTGTTACGTAGGGACATACTTTGCATGCTTAACGAATAAAATTAAAATTGCATATAGAGCGGCAAATCCGCCGTTGCCGGTAACAAGCCCGAATGAGAAAGGAAGAGCGTTGGTGACCGTGGCGAAGTCTCCGTAAAGTTCGCCCGCCACCTGTCACTCAAGGTAATGACGTCATCGAACATCATACCGGCTAGGACGTTTCCCGGCTTATCAAGGGTCGCCCAGGTTGTTGGTGGGGGAGGGGGTGGTGGGACTGAGGCAGACTGCGAAAAGTCGGCGATCAGACCCTACTCATCGCCCTCTGCAAGTCGGAGGCGTAGACCACGGTTGGCGAAGACCGACGCAACGACGACGAAGATTCCACTCAGCAATGGAGTCGCTTCCTGTTCTGAATGGAGGAGACAGAAGCGCGATGCCATTATAGCACGTCAGAAAAGGCTCCACGAGAACGACACCGCCGGTGGGAGCTTAAAGTCAGAAATTGAAATATATCTTCATTCAGAAGGAAAGAACAAGAGTCTGTTGATGAGGCCATAAAGAATCAATTCGATATTCTTGAACTCTCGTCAACGAAGCGCCAAGGCCATGGAATCCTGAACCTTTGTGGGTGGAAGCTATTCTACTCAGGTATCGATATCACGACGCGCGCTCAGGCCGGTGTTGGTTGTCTGGTAGAGCCCAACCAAGCAGATAGAAGCCTGACAACGGAAGGGTGGTAATCCTCTGACTGAAACTACAACAGGCTAAAACGCTGACCTTGGTACAGGTCTATGCGCCCAATTTTGAGGGAAAATATGATACCTTCCTTGAGGGAGTGCATTGTACTCTGTCAAAATGCCGAATACAGAGTCCTTCATGCTAATGTGCGATTTTAATATCGGAGCAGCCATTGAAAAGTGGGAAGGAGTGATTTTAAAGAACAATAATTGTGACCTCAGAACGACATGTAGTTGTTGTGATTTTGTGCAAACAGCGGATTGCCTATTACGAACACGTTTTATGAGCATCGAAGCGTGCTTCAGTTTACCTGGTATGTGGAAACTTGCTCACAGAAGTCCATGATCGATTTGATAATCATCTCATCTGACGCTCTGTAACGTAAGTTCACGTTAAGAGAGGCCCATGCTCTCAATCGATCATAACTTTGTTGTTGGCGCGATACGCTGTGAGATCACTTTACTAAGATCTGGTGACAGAAACAACCAGAGAATAGAATGCGAAACATTATCTTCGACGAATATGAGGGGAAAACTTGCAAATGACGCCGAACGACGTTGAGCACATTCCGGTGGTGACCACTGATGTGGAACCTCTTTAAGAAGGCATATTCGAGGATGCCGCCGAATGCTGCGGATATAAACGGATTGGCCTGCCGCCTGGAGGTCAGAAAAGATCTTCATGGTGGACACGAGAGGTACAACTGCCAATTAAAAAGAAGGCAGCGTTTAAGAAATGGCTTGGAAACAAACAGGCTTCCACTCGCGTGCGATATGTCTAGGCACCTAAGGCGGCTGAGAAAGCAGCGGCGAAAACCAAAGCTGAGGTTTTGTGAGGTGTGGTGTAGGATTTCCACACGGCAAACAAGGTGTTTTGGCAAGCCATCCGCTGGCTTTGAGGGGAAAAGAAGGACAGTCTAAGAATCGAAGGACAAACCTTGACAACCCCTTACCGAGGATGCGAACATTCTTCGCCGA